AAAGAAACAGGGTGAAGCTGGGGCTATTGAAGCCCAATTGAGAACCTGTTTCCTCATTAATTGGCTATGAAAATCACCTTCAGGTAAAACTAGCTAAAGTATTTTTGGCCAAGTCTAACTAACTTCAATACCGTTGCAGGTAAACACACATGATGAGTATAGAAGCTGTAGATGCATTGCATGGATGATAAAAGAGGATTGAAATTTTCAATGACAGGTCAAGAACCTGGTTCTTGTACCAAAGGTTAGTAGTTTTATGCATTCCTTAATACACATCTTAAAAAGGTACAAATATCAACTGCCATTATCTACCTTTTCAGACCCTGCTGTCACGTCCCTTCACTTCAAATCATTCTATCTCCCTCTAAAACGTTGCATCTCTCCAAGCACAACCGCTATTTCAGAACCGGTTCCTATCTCTATCTTTATAATTATCCACTCTCATTAAAACCCTTCTCCTTTCTTCACAAACCACAGTCCTCCATTAGAACTTCTTCAAAGAACGTTCTCTCTATCTCTTCAATGGCTGACACAAACTTCGAAATCCCTGCCTCAGTTGTCTCTAATACTGAAAAATCCATTGAGTCTTCCGTCCCCAATGAGTCGTCTGTAACCACTCCTGTTCTTATCTTTGAAATCACTCCTAACCCAAATTCCCCATCTCCCTCCAGTTCTAAGTTGACTATCCTAGAAACCCCTAAAATTGTTGATCCTTCTTCTCTATCTTCTGAGTTTCCCTTTGATCGAGAAAAACATGTAGAACAGGGTAAAAGTCCTTAGGTCGCAGAGGTTTCCGCCATTGTTGCTTCAGATTCCGTGATGGCCATGAAGCCTATTGAGGAAGAAAATGTCGCGACCATCTTTATGGTATCTGTTGATGGCGTCTTACATGAAATAATTTCTGGTGTTTCCATATCTCAGAGGCACGAGATACAGGGTATTGGGGAAGAAGGAGCCATGGTGGCTGTTGAAGGCTCGTCACTAGCAGAAACTACTGGGACCTCTCATGAGGAACCTGACCCCTCTCCGGAGGAAACAGGTCAGGGTTCTCACCCCCAGGCCAGTTTTGCTCCTGCATTTGCTGTTGAGCCCTTGGGCGTTCAAGTCCTTGAGATGAGATCTAGTGATGAGGAGGATCAAGATAACATTGCTCTTGATTCTTTCATAGTCAAGCGAAGGGTAGTGTCCACTCCTGAGTCCTTTACTAAGCGACCTACAACTAGGTCACAAGCAAAGGTAGCCTATGACTCTGCCCTTTAAAAGAGCAGAAAAAGCAGTAAGAAGAAAAAGGAGAGATTGGTGAAAGACAATGTAATAGTGTGCGATGAGGTTGTGCCTGCGATGGAGGTTGAGGAGGAAACAATAGAGGAACCTAGTTCCCTAGTGAGAAAGTCCCTGAAAAAGAAGTAATCTGCTTCTGTAGAGAATGTTACAACCCCCAGTTAAAAGTTGAAGGATGTTGTGAGTGAGCGCTCAGTTTCTGATGAGGATGTGTTAGTCAAGTCTAAGGGAAAAGCAAAATCAAGTGGTGTGAAGTCTGGCAAGAGAAAGTTTGAAACCATTAAAGAACCTGGTTCTGTGAAAAAGATGAGGAGTGAAACTTGTTCTTCTTCAGAACGATTAAGGCACCAAAAGGTCTTCCTAGGTCGCACCTTTGACCCAGCGATTTCTGATATGGCTGGTATACGTCAAGTTCTTGCAATGGTTGATTTCAACGGTGGGGACATCTGTTCCAAATGGATGCACCCAAAGTGTATGAGGATGAGGTTCAAAGCTTTTATGCCAGCCTCTTTCCCGTTGATACCGACCATATCTGTGCCTTGGTTAATGAGGTGGACATTGTGTTTGACGTGAGTCTGCTTGGGGACATTCTAAAAGTCCCTACAGTTGGTGTGTCTAGTGTGAAGATGCGTGTGCGTATAATTTCCGAAATGTTGTGGTAAAGGATAATGCGAACCAAAAGGGGGACCAGATTCACAAGAAGGCATTACTCCTTGTTTATGAGTTGCTCTTCGAGTTGGTGAACAAAGTTTTGTTGCCTCGTGCTGAGAGGAGGTCCATGACTTCTAAGTCTGGCCTGTTTTTAATGGAGCAACTGGATGGATTTAACCCTGTCAGCCTGCCTGCTATCATGATCGAACACATGTACAAAGTAGCAACCTTCAAGGATGGCAATCATGGTCTTCCATATGGATTTCTGCTTACGCAAGCGTTTATGTTTTTCAAGGTGCCACTGGGGCCAGGCAAGGTATGAACCAAGAAGCAGACCTTCTCTCAAACAACTTTGGATGAGTGTGAGTGCATCGAGAAGAAAGGGGGCGTTAGGCAGTACATCAACAATCTCACAGCTCATTTATGCTCAAAATAGTACAATTGAGGAGACTCGAAGGTTGAAGGCTAGGAATGTTATCCTGGAAGGTCAGCAGGCCCAATGGGCTCCGGAGTCAAATGAGGAAGTGGTCCGTTTGACAAAAGAAAATGCTGATCTCAGGGCACAAGTGGAGAACTTGAAAGCAGAACTGCTCAATGAGCAAAAGTTGGCCAATGCCCGAATAGACCTAGTTCTCCAAACTCTTGCTGTAGCTTCCAAGCCCTCTACTCCTAGTGCCCCCTAAGCAACTCCTTCAGTGACCAATTTCTGGATTGTCTCTTGCAGTTTTTATGACTTGGCAGATGTTTTTGTTTCTTTTGTTTTGATGTGTTTGGGATGTATCCGTACTGCTCCCATTTTCAACAGTATATGTTTGATATGTAAAAACTATCCTTTTTTCTTATCTCATTGCTAGTATTCTCTATTTCTCTTCTCTATCATGTTGTGTGCACATATGTGGCATGAGTTAGTTCGGCTAGACTTCTTTATGCTGTTTGCCTGCGTGTGTATTTTTAATGATGCCAAAAGGGGGAAGTATAATTGAAACATGGATCTGATTAAGGGGGAAGCATAAAGTCGGGGGGAACTTGTGAAGTTCATGTTACCTCATCTGGTTATTTCTGCTCTAATCACATGTTATCAATGTCTAAGTTTATCATCATTAAAAAGGGGGAAATTGATGGGTTTTCAATGTCTTTGCCTTATGTTTTGATGATCTAACAAACTTATTGTCAAGAACCAGATAGGGAACCTGACACACTTGGTACACATTACAAATGAACGGATTCCAGCCAGGACTCCAACTAATGTGAACTGCTGCAAGTGTAGAACATAGAGGAACAAGTCAAGGACCTGATCCCTTGTGTTTCCTGATAGCAGTATGAAAGTCAACTGTGCACAACTGGAAAGTGACTGCCACAGAAACAGTGCACACGGTGCAACAGTTTTGCAATCACTTGCCCTTTTATCTACCAAGTGCTTATATCATTCAAGTGATGTCATCAAAGGTGTATTAACAAGAGCATTATAACAAAACATCACTTGAACACTTGAGAATTCACTTCACGCATTCAAGTCTTCTACAAACAGTGAACTTAATTCTCAAGAGCTTGATGAACAAAGTTAAACATTACTACGGACCAGTTCCTAAATCTAGTATTTTGTTGTCCTTAGTTGAGTTGTAATTTTGTGATTTTTCTTATAGTAATTCCTAAATTGCTTAGCTAGAAGCGTTGCTTAGGAACCCCTTTGCAAAACCATAAACTTTCTGAGTTTGTATTGTGACTAGAGTTAGTCATAAGTTAAAGTCTTTGTAACTAGTGAGTGACAAAGTGGCTTGTGGTAAGTGTATCACAAGTTAGTTGAGTTGAAATCTTTGTAATAGAGTCATTACAAAGTGGCTTGTAATAGTGTGTTTACAAGTTAGTGAAGTTGAAAGCCTACAAGTGTAGGTCGTGGTTTTTTTGTCCCCTTGTGTGAAATTTTTCCACGTAAAAATCCCGTATCTCATTTACTTACTGTTTCATTAGTATTCTCAGTAAAAACTCATAAATGACCAAGTACTCTATAGTTTGGTGGACTCATATAAACTAACATTTATTACTAATAATTAATTGGTTGAATAATTACCATAGCCGTCCAAAACTGATGCTCATCTAATTTATCCATAGTAGTATACGCTTTCATTAGATCATGCAATAAAGATATGCCTTATCCACAAAAAAAATTGCCACAGTACCATGTCTTCCAGAAAATTCTATTCCTCTCAACTTAATTATTATTCGAGTTTCAATAAAATAAAGACTACTAGATTTATCCTTAATCACCTAAAGGATAAAAGAAGAAGAAGAGGAGGATAAATAAGATTACGCAGGCTAGATAACACAAAAGTATATATAATTGAGAAAACTTAATTAAAGGATAAGTAAGATTACGCATGCTAGGTATAAAAAAAAATAAAACTTAAGATGAGAAATTTAATTCTATCTATCTAAAAGCATCTTCATTTTTTTTATTTTCAAACAAAATTGTCTATAATATTGTCGTTTTTCAAAAATATAAGAAAACATTAATTTCTTTTTCCCTCTGAATTCATTCTTACATATTTTTATTTAGAATGTTGATGCACTAAGTTATCACTATGCGCGTAGTTCGGATAAGGGTTGGACCACAAAAGTCTATAGTATGCAGCTTTATCCTGAATTCTGCAAAATATCATTTATGCGGCTCGAACTCATGACCTCCTCGTCACTTGACAATAACTTTACTAGTTACGTCAAAGCTCCCCTTCCACTATTTTTATTTGTAGTGTCAATTAAATAATATATTTTATAAAAACATAACCACTACTATAACTATACAAATACGTTTACAATTATTTAAGCTACTAAATATATTGCCAATATCAAATTTTGTCATAATTATCCAATCAGCCTTTGCATTAATTATCCATTTCATTTTTTCAATCTAATCCAACTAATACTAATCTATATTACCTCCCATCATCCTATACATACCAAACTCCCTACCCCCACCACGCACCCCCACCCCCCAAACCCCGTCGCAGAATCCAACAGACACATATATAGGAGGGAAAGAAAAAACACAACAAAAGTACAACATATATATATGTAAAAGTCACCGTCCATTCCACATATATACATATTCCCTTCAACTCCAGCTGTCTGTAACTTCCCACTTTCTGTTTCTCTCTTTAATACCCACAAACACAATTACACCAATTGCCAAGAATTGAACTTTCTGTAATTTTAACCCAAAACCCAACATGGGTTCTGCTTTTTCTTTCTTGATTTCATCTACTGAGCCAATTAAACCTAGTCTTGGTGATTTGCCAGAGAGTTGTGTAGCTTCAGTTCTTGTATATATGGACCCTCCTGAGATCTGTAAATTATCTATGCTTAACAGAGCTTTCATGAGAGCTTCTTCGGCTGATTTTGTTTGGGAATCTAAGTTGCCTCTTAATTATGCCTCTATTATTCAAAGGGTTCAAAATTTTCCTAACAATTTGTGTAAAAGAGACATTTATGCTAGGCTTTGTCGACCTAATTCATTTGATGGTGGTACAAAGGTCCAATCTTTATCCCTCTTTCTGTTGCTAAATTAAGATATTAATTGTGTGCCTAATTTATTCATCAACTGGGAAATCAGTTGTACTAGTTTGGTAACGAGGTGGTGTTATATATTTTACTAGTAGTTTTTTGGAAATTTGAGATGCCCCACTTGTGGGAATGCACTGAATATGTTGTTGTTGTATGAAAATTTGAGATGTAATCTAAAGGCAAATAATTTGTATCCCTATTTATGAAGAATTTCATTAGTTTTTTTTTCCTTGTATTCCTTTGTTTTTTTCTAAAAAATAAAAAAATAAATACTATCATTAACTAGTAAATCTGTACTAGTTTGGTATTGAGGCGTTGTTGTTAAAGTGGTGATATTAAATTTGAATAGTAATTTAAAGGCTATAGTTTAGTACTAAAACTTGAGAAGCAATCTGGAGACTGTAATTAGTTGAGGGCGGAAAATGAGATTGATGGTTTTATTACTTCTTGGTATATGTGCAGAGAGTTTGGTTAGATAAGAGTACTGGAGGAGTTTGTTTGTCTGTATCTTCAAGTGGCTTGGCGATAACGGGCATTGATGATAGGAGATACTGGAGTCGGATTGAAACTGATGAATCAAGGTGAGGTTTTGTGATTGTTTTGCTTCTGATGTATAGTTATGGTAGAATGTATTTTTTATATTTGTGTGGTTACTGATATATGTGGTTTTAGACTGGCTGATCAAGTCCGAGTGTTCGCCTGTTCTCTTTGTCTAGCTTGTGAATTCTTTCTTAACCATGTGAATTGTAGTTGTTTAATGTAGTCTTATCTTTGAAATTGCCATTTCTATGATGCAATTAGTATGTTAGATGACATTTCATCCTCCTATTCTTCTAGGACTTTTCATTCTGGAAAATAACCAAAATTAGTTGAACACCCTTGGATAAGTGTGCCTCGACGCTTTAGATTTTTTTTTTTGATTTTTTTTTATTTGTTCTAAAAAATCCTTGGGTTAGTTTGATAGTTTTTTCTTGTTCTTAGATTGCTAATTTTACATTTTTTTTACCCTATTTCCTTTTGTGTCGGTTTCTTAGTATCTTGCTGTGGTTAGTGCAGTTAATGCTTGTTGCTTCTGCTTCCCTCTATCTATTTTCTGGCTTCTTAGTTTGATGTTATTATCTTTCCGGCGTTTGTTGTTGATATTGCTTGTTTAACTGTTTCTTTCCATATTTCTTGAGACGAGGGTCTATTGGAAACAACCTCTCTACCCTCCCAGGGTAGGGGTAGGGGTAGGGGTAGGGTAGGGGTAATGTCTGCGTACACACTACCCTCCCCATACCCCACTTGTGCGACATCACTAGGTCTGTTGTTGCTGTTGTTCTAAATAATCCTTGGAAGATTTGAGGGGGTAGTTGTTGTCTTTCTCAATAGTATTATCCTTGCAATCTAATGGTGAATTAGGAGTTTCAACATTGTCGTCATGGTTGAACATTGCTTGTTAGCTCGTTATTTTACTGATGCAGGTGAGACTTTTGTTTAAAAGAAAAAAAAATTCAAGTTTCCTCACGGCTAATCATTAGTCCACAAGGTTTACCTAGCAATTCCAATCAGGACCACTCTTTAACATACTTGGGCTTTGAGGTGGTGGGGTTAGGGGAGGCGAGTATAGACGAAATTATGCCCATTACCTCATAAAACCTTATAAAAGCCTATTTATCGTTCCAGATTGATATGATGTAAGGTTCCTCGTATTGCCCCATAATTAACCAAAAAGAAGAGGTCGTATTTGGAATGTACATATTTTTATATATGCAAACATGATTGAGCTTTAGGGGATAACTGTGAAGTGGGTGAGAACCACGAGGTTTCAGGTTCAAATCCCAGTATAGGCAAAAACACTAGGTGATTTCTTATCATCTTTCCAAGCCTTAGTGGACAAAGTTACCTTATAGTTGTTGTTGGTGGGAGGTGCCAACTATCTCGCGGAATTAGTCGAGGTGCGTGCAAGCTAACCCGGACACCACGGTTATTAAAAAAATGATTGAGCTTTAGGGGAGAACTGTGAAAGCTCCACATGTGGTCATGACATTTTTGAGATGTCTTGGTACCTGAATGACTGCTTGGAGGATCTCTGTAGCTCATTCATGAAAGTAAAACCAAAGGAAAATGAATAAATATCTGCACTTCTTACTCATGTTCTTGTTCTAATACTGGCTAATCACTGATATGCTTATACCGTGCACTATATGTTTTCATTCTGTGGCTATAATCTTGAAAAGCTAGTACATGCTCAGAACAGAATATTTATTGATTTCTTTTCCTTTCTGTCCATGCAGATTCAAGTCCGTTGCATATCTCCAACAGATTTGGTGGTTCGAAGTTGACGGAGAGGTCGATTTCCCATTCCCTGTGGGGTCCTATAGCATATTCTTTAGACTGCAAGTAGGACGTGCCTCTCGGAAATTTGGACGCCGAATCTGCAACTCCGAGCACGTCCACGGGTGGGATAAAAAGCCCGTGCGGTTTCAGCTCTCAACATCAGATGGTCAACAAGCTACAACCCAATGTTACTTGAATGAACCTGGAATGTGGAAGTACCACCATGTTGGTGACTTTGTTGTCACAGGTTCGGTAACACCCATGAAAGTTAAATATTCTATGACTCAGATCGATTGCACACACACAAAAGGTGGACTTTGTGTAGATTCTGTAGTGATATGTCCAGTAGAATTTGCAGAGAGGTTGAAGCAACGTTTTTGATTTGCTGATGTCTCTAGAGAAAGTGTTTAAGAGTTTAGTGGTAGTACTATCCATAGTTCTGGAGTTGTTAGTTTTGAGTGATAATCATCATAGACTGAGGCAATTTCTGTATATGTCAACGACGGGCTTTTTATCCGTTTAGTGTAGTGAGTTCTTAGGTCAAGTTGTCTCTCTATGACCTATAGGTCGCGGGTTCGAGCTGTGGAAGCAGTTACTAATGCATGCATTAGGGTAGGCTGTCTACATCACACTCCAAGGGGTGTGGCCTTTCCTCGACCCTGCGTGAAGGCGGGATGCTTTGTATACCGGACTGCTCTTTAGTGCAGTGAGTTCTTAGGATCTGTTACATTAGTTACGTACTGTTCTCTATCTCCAGTTCTAGTTAATGTCAAGAACCAACATTTGCGTCTTGCTGCGCTGAAATGTAGTGCGGTGAATGTATTAATTTCTTTTTGCCGTTGGTTTCTCTTTTACTGCTGATGCTTCTGTCTTCAATTATGTTTATGCACTTTGCTCAATGTCTAAAGAAAATTGGTAATCTGGATTGGTGGGTCACTATAAAATTATTCGGACCTAAATGAGATCCTATTTTTTAGAACATATTCAATTAATTAAGAAGTTGACAGAAATTCCCCTTCTCTTTTTTACTCAATGCGCACACATTATTTTAAGACAGAATTACATCCTATGTCAGTCGGCCCAATTTCAGAACCAAAAATGGCCCATGTTTTGGAACTTTATCCGGCATAGCCCATTTTGCAGATAATGCATAGCCTATTTTCATCGGTTAACCTAGCGACAACCTTAACGATGTCATCGGAAAATAAATATGACGGTGGATAACATCCTTTACCCATTTTTTTTCCTTCAATTTTCAAGATAAAGAGGTCGACGATGAAGTCAGTGAAGTCATCGGAGAATGAAAAAGAGGTCTGGTGTTGTATTCAGATAGTTTTCAAGTTTTTCAGGTGATGTTCCAGTTTTATCTTCTTTTATAAAACAATTCCATCTCCATCTTCTCTCCTCTTTAATTTTCAGAACTAACTTCCTCCGAAAAACTCTCTTTTGATATTTTAATACTGAAATAGAGGTGTAATATTGAACATAAGATGTGTTCTGGTATAAATATTGTATAACCACTATTTATACACACTTATACATTATTGTATAATTGTGTATAAATGTGTATAATTGTGTATAAATATATATAATTATATGTAAATGTGTATATATGTTCATAACATCACTTATCTTCTTCTTCTTCTTTCTCTTATTCTTTTGATATACATTATTATACATTCCATATACAAGTTTATACATAGTTATACATCATTATACATGTACTGCATATGTATAATCAAATTAATTTTTTTTTCATGTTTTCTTCCTTTTTCTGGAATAATTCATGTATAAATATACTTTCCTTGTTGATTCTCCGCCAAATCACGAATTTGCAGCAATTGTTTCTAAATTTTACCATATAAGTAGAATCAGCGAAAAATTAGGGGACAACTTGCAGCAGTAAAGACAAATTGGGGGAGAAAGATCAAAATTAGACGACGGAAGAATTAGAAAATCTCATGACTTCATCTAAATAAGATAATTGTCCTGATTGAACTCCGTTGCCGAATAAAAAAGCTAGAAAATACTTTTTTTTCAAATATTAGCCTATTATTTTTGGGCTACAGATTTGTAAAGTTATGACTGGACTATTATGCTGCAAGTCAAATGTGTGAGTTGTATTTATGTGAAATTATCCCTTATTTTAACATATTAGTTACTCAATGAGGGTGAAGGAAAAACGGTAAAGTTGTCTTCGGGCGGTTTATAGGTTACGTGTTCGAGCCGTAGAAGTATCTGTTGATGCTTGCATTAGGGTAGGTTGTTTACATTACACACCTTGGAGTGCGATTTTTTTTCGGATCTTGTGTAAAGACGGGATGTTTCGTGCACTGATTTACCTTTTTGGCTACTCGATGGAGTAAAAGTTGTTCTAGAACGATGATATGATGCCTTTTCAGGGCCAAGTTGTAGGTATGGGAATAAAGGAAGTTTGACTTTTTTCTCTTTCTAGAACCATATAGGTTTCAAAATTGGATCTCTGGGTGGGAATACTATAAATACCAAAAGATGTTTAACGGAAGGGAAACTTATAGCCTTACCTCTTGCTTCCTACTCTAAGAATGAACAACCCTATCCCTATGCACATTTTGCCTATTTTTTAATCACTATGAAAGCATATAAATCCTCCTTTACATATATACCATTGTAACTTGTATGAAATTGAAATATGACCACAAATAGTTGTGGTGGGATGGAATATGATTCCTTCATTGTTAACCAGAGATCTTAGTGCCCGTTTGGACATAAAATTTGATGGAAGATTTTTCTAAAAAAATTTCACTTTTTTTCAAAATGTTTATAAAATTTTCAATTTTCACTTGAAGATGCATTTTGGAAATTTTTGAAAATTTGAAAAACTGTAAAAAGTTGTTTTTCAAAATTTTCACTCAAATCACTCACAAAACTTCAAAAATAACCCAAACTAAAATTTATATCTAAACACAACTCTAAATTTCAAATACCATTTTCACTTGAAATTTTTTGTCACCATTTTTACGAATTTTACAATTCTTATGACCAAACGCCTACTTAGATTCGGGCATTAGGAATAGAAAAAATCCTGAGTGCTTTCTTTTTCAATGGACGTTATATGGCGCCATTTCGAATTAATCGAGTCGAGTTAGTAGACGGTGCAAGGCATCGGGTTGGATATAATTAAAATAGGGAGGACTCCATTACGCCATGAAATATTGGAAAAATAGCCACAAAAAATGGTTGGCATATGTATAGCTTCAAGCAAAGGTAATAATAGCACGGTCTAGCCAGTTTTCGGACTGGTCGTTCAAAAATAGCCAGCGTTTGCAAAGTCATTGAAAAATAGTCACTATTTTGCTGCAACACGGAAGGTTCCAACATACTATACTGGAGATCGGTGCACCTGTGTATAAACTTCCAGCATATTATGCTGGAACTCCAACACGCGAAAAGTTCTAGTATATTATGCTGGACCGGTATATTATACTGGAACTCCAGTATATATTATACTGGAGTTCCATACTTCCAGTATACTTATGCTGGAACTACAGTATATTATACTGGAGTATTTTTTCGGATTTTGAACAGTATTTTCGTTCAGATTTATCTTTACATGAAAAATGGCAAATTTTCGATTACTTTTGAAACTGTGGCTATTTTTGAATGATCACTTTTAAATCTGGCTATTTTTTAATTTCTCCCCAAGCAAAGTTTTTGTGTGAGTGCGTTTGTGAACTGTTGTTCGTGCTTAAAGAAATCAAAATGAGAGTTTATATAGCACTTAATAAGGTAAAGAATAAATCAGAGTTCATAAACAGGGTAATCAGAATAAATCAATCAGTTAATTGGGGACTTAACTCGATCAATTTCCACAGAAGAATCCGAAAAGGACCCCCTTAAATTGGGGGGAATCCCTTAATGATTCAGATTGAGATTCAAATAAGGCAAACAAATCAATCATATACCATATAGGAGTTAATTAGATCCCTAAATCAGACTAATAGTCTAATTAAGGCAAGCAGTACTAACTAAAGTCACAAATAAGGAAAATAGGTAAATCACAGAGGAGTACTGATTTTAACGGGAAGAATTGGTTCAAATCCTTAATAGAAATCAATTAAGTAAAAACAAATCCCAAAGAATATTGGTTTTAACATAAAATTATTCAAGACTAAAGGATAGAGTTAGTCAATACAACGGGTTCATGTAAATGAACACAATAACGAAAAAGAAATGAAGGAATCAGTGTCACAAACAAGAGCATCTAGGGTTTGAACATATACACGAAAATTAATCAAACATGTAATGAAACCATTAATTTAACACCGAAAGGTTTAGAAAAAATCTTTGGAAAAAGTTTGGCAGAAACTCTAATTTCAGAGAGAGTAAACGAAGTTGAAACAATTAATTAAACCAATAGATTTTAAAGGAAAATACCTAATAATACTCGAATCGCTTTAGATCTATAAATATCTGAGGAGATTCGACCAATAGTAAAACTAGGGTTTTCAGAAAATAGTAGAGATGAAGAGAATCGGTCGAAAACCCATGGATTCGTATTAGAAACAAGAGGAAATCCATACTCACAAACGAAAGTGGCAACAGACAGGCCGGTAAACAACTTCAAGCCGGAATAGGTTGGGTTTCCATGAGATCCTCTCAAGGACTCATGAAATCAAGCAGCTAGAGAGTATAGGAGACCGGTGGTGGTCGGAGAATGCACAGAAACACCATGGAAAGGAGGTCTCCGCCGGTGACGGCGATTAGGTTTAGGGGTGAATTGAGAGAGAGTTAAAGAGCTTAGGGAACGAAGGCTGCGGAAATGAAAGAATGAAGGGGTTTAGGGGGTCGTTTGGGATTATTATGGTAAGTTTAATTGTGGACCGTTGATCTAAAAGATCAACGGCCACGATTAAACGGGGTTATTGGGTCGGGTAGGTTTAATTGGGTTAGGGTCGTTTTAAATTGGGCTTGGGTTTAATAAATTAGATTGGGGGGGGGAGGGTCCGATTTTGGGTGTAAGTTAGGGGCTGTTATTTAAATACCCCTTTTACTAATTAAAATAATTTTGAAAATAGCTAATAAAATGATAAAAAATAATTTTCAAGCATGAAGGTGATTTAAAATAATTATTCAATATTATAAAAATATAAAAAGTTATTTTCTGTATAGATAATGTAGTTATGCCTATGTAGGGGCTATATTTGCAAAATATGCAATTATAGTCTTAAACATGCAAATGTGATTATAAAAAATGCAATTAAAATATTTGAACACTCATATGAACATAAGTGATGAATTTAGATGATTAAATCATCATAAAATAATATGAGGGATAGCTTGAACATTTATGTAATTAAAAAATGTAGAAATAAATGGATTTAGGGCCTTTAAAAATTGTAGAAAAATTGTAGGACACTTGTGCATGTTTGTAAATCCATGTACAATATTTGGAAAGTATTTATGCAAAATTTAAAATATATGAGGAAAAAATTGGGTATCAACAACAATAACCCAGTGAAATCCCACTAGTGGGATCTGGGGAGGGTAATGTGTACGCAGACCTTACCCCTACCCCGAAGGACTAGAGCTGTTTCCGGAAGACCCTCGGCTCAAGGAAACAAAAAGAAAAAAAGGAGATAATATTAATATCAGCACATAAATCGTAGGAAAAATAGGAACAATACGAAACGTAGAAGAAAGATGCAAAGCTAAAGGGAAAGCTTTAATGTGTTATTGTGAATTTGAATGATAATGTTTCTTTTAGACGATATTACAGCAATATGGTTGTATAGGGTCAAATTTGACTCTCAGCATCTCTACGTCAGTGGGTACGCCCAATAAGTGTACGCCTGCCAACGTAGCGGGTACGACTCGGTTGT